ATTTTTATTAAAATAAATTTATTTTATTTTTCTTTAATAAATTATCAAATGAACAACGTGGACCCAAATAAAACAGGCCAAAAACGTCAAAATACGTACAAAATAAACATAAATCTAAAATATATTTTTACACAAACAAAAAAGATTTTAGTCAACGACTTGTTAATAATTTTAGTATTATTATAAATTCAAAAAGAGATTTAATTGCTTATAGTCTACTGTTTTGACTAATTTATTGTTTTCAGTACCTACGATAATATTAAAAAACTTTTTTAAAATGGGGTTAGGGCTTCTAACGTTTTTTAAAATTTTGAAAACAATGAATGAAAAACTTGTTGAATTGTTCTATTTTATTGTGTTTGGCTTTATTTGATTGTATACTCTCGACTCCATAATTGAAGGAAGGTGGGGGTGTTTATTAATTTTTGAAAAACTTTGCCACCCACCCTAAGATTATTAAGATCCCTCTTGTATTAGGAAATTGAGAGTACATAGATTAACAGATATGGAATTAATTATAGATTAACAGTCATGGAAATAAACAGTGATAATAACATAGATTAACAGTCATGGAAATACTTATACTGATTATCTTATCTATCTATTTGTCTTAAATATTTTAATAGATGTCTTAAATCGTTTTTTCTTCGAAATAAATTATCGCACTATTAATTTACCGAAGTTTGACTATATGTTGCAAATTATTTGAACACAGAAATTTCAATTTTTAAAATTCATTCAAAACTTTGCAGACATCATATCTGTAAATTTACTGAAAAAATATTTTAATTATCAAATTTCAAGAGTAGGCTATGTGTGTATTGTCAACAAACAACTTTATACATAATTTGCCTTGGCTATTCCGTTCATAAATTAGACAAAATTGTCTAACTTACTTTACGAAGTGCACCAACGAGAAGGTAAGCCATAGGAGTTTGCACTCCATCAGTGAGCAGTCATGTTGCCTAAGGTTAGCCCTCCATTTCTGGATTCTTTCCTTGATAGGCAGTTCATGTATAAGTAATAGTAAATTAGCCTAAGATTAGCCCTCCATTTCTGGATTCTTTCCTTTACTTGATAAAAAAAAGTAATAGTATTTTTGCATAAGCTTTTTTTTTTTTTTTTTAATAGAGGTATCTTTTAACGTTAAATACCAATCATAAACTTCTTCATTTTATCTAAATTATTATACATTTTATCTAAACTATTTTTTCATAAATCAAGTCAAGAAAATATATAAACTTAAATCAATCTAAACATCATACCTAAATTGATATTAAAAAATTTAATGAGGTATTTAAAATTTAAAAATTTAAGGCTATTTATTTATCAAAACAATCATTGTTTTGATAAATAAATAACCTTATAGTTAATTATATTTATTGATATCAGTTTAGTTATGATGTTAAGATTCACTGTTACAATGAAAGTATTTGTTTCTATATATATATATATATATATATATATATATATATATATATATATATATATATATATATATATATATACATATATATATACATATATATATACATATATATATATATATATATATTATATATATATATATATATATATATATATATATATATATATATATATATATATATATATATATATATATATATATATGTATATATATACATATATATATATATATATATATATATATATATATATATATATATATATATATATGTATATATATATATATATATATATATATATATATATATACTATATATATATATATATATATATATATATATATATATATATATATATATACATATATATATATATATATATATATATATATATATATATATATATATATATATATAAATAAAAGGTTAGATGAGAAAAAACAACTTTTTTACGGTACTTAAAGTTGTAAACGGTACATGCCGTAACGGTACATGTACATGCCGTAAACGGTATGAAACTTTAAGTACCGTAAAAAAGTTGTTTTTTCTCATCTAACCTTTTATTTATTTATTTATTGATCTATTTTGTGATTATTTCACTTTATATTGATCACTCTCAAATCGAAAAAGAGTTGATTATTATCAAATAATCTATATATATATATATATATATATATATATATATATATATATATATATATATATATATATATATATATATATATATATATATATATGTGTGTGTGTGTGTGTATGTGGAGAGAGAAAGAGAAAGAGATTTTTCACTTTAGGTTTTTCTCCTAATGATAAAAACTGATGATTTAAATAACAACACTTTAAATATTTTTATCTACATATCAGTAAATAAATAGTTTTGATTATTTACTGACAAATTTTTACCTAAATATAAAATTAGAAACAAATTACTTCATTGGAGTAATTTGTTTCTAATTTTATATTTAGTTTATATTAACTGAAGTCTTCAGTAAATGATTTAATAGATCTTGTTGATAATAAATACTTATCAAAACAGTTCAGCTAGATATATCAACCAAAATCATATTAAATCAATATCAGCATTACAAAAATGTATGTATAATAATGTTCAATAAAAATAACAGATCTTTTTTTCCATATGAAAGATTGAATGGTAGAGTAACGAAAAGATCCGCAGAAAGTTATCACTTAGTTAAGCGCAGTGCGCTTAATAAAACGGGGTATTTCTAAAAATCACTTTAAAGAATACAAATAACTCACCCAATTTAAACTTTTTTTTTTAAATCAAAAAGTTATGTACATAACAAATAAATAGCTGCAGCACCTATTTTAACGTGATTCCAGATGAACTATCTTAATTTACTGGTATTTACACAAAATTGAATCATTTAAAAGAGAATAACTTTTTCACTTCAATAGAAAACTGTCGGAATCGCATAAATAAATGTTTTACGTTCTTTTCTAAAAAATAATACATCAATATATATATATATATATATATATATATATATATATATATATATATATATATATATATATATATATATATATATATATATATATATATATATATATATATATATATATATATATATATATATATATTTATAATTAATTTTCATGGGTGGGTTTTTATTCTTCGACACCTACATAAAGCCATTTCCTTCGTATTTTGGACGAGTTTTTTCAATATCAAACCGAAAGTTTTTTTTCTGCAATAAAAAATTACGTGACTAAACTCCCTATTTGTATTTAATAGTAGTACAGTACAGATAAGTATTCTAAGACAAGTCCTTAAGACTACTCTTTATCAACTCTTTAACCACATAGAAATAATTTTCAGAAATTTAAATAAGCCCCTATTGCTTAGGTCCTTCCCCTCCCCGCAGTTATAGGACCTGTGGGCTCATATTTTCAATACTGAATTTATGGGCGGCACGCCGAAATAATGATTAAGTTATAAGATTTTTTATAAGAAAAAAAACTCACACTGCTATTTTTTTTTTATCTAAATCCATTTCTTTCAAAGTTTCAAGAATTTTCATCGCTATGTTGAACTTACTGATTTATAGTTTTGAATCCAATGAAGCGTAAAAACCATTGTTACTATTTAAATTAACATAACGTATGACAATTGAGAGTTGATCTAAAATTGCGCAGTCTGAAGATTCGTTTGCCAAAATAAAGAAATAGTTTTTATAGTAGTTGTTTTGTTATTTTGTTTTTTAATTTTTTTTTTTAAATCTCTTTAACTACATTTCTACAACACAAAACCAACTTCTTTTAAGCGGACTTCAAAATATGCGTGAAATCTTTAGGGTAACTAAGAGATTTTTTTAAATTAAATCAAATGATAATGATGAATAATGAAAATTGAATAATATACAAATAAAATTTATTTTTTTGGCAATATTTTGATACGATTTCAGATTTTTTATTAAGATTATTTATTTTTCTGGTGTTTTTGCATGAAACAATTTCAAGTTGCTCTTGCAAGCAAAGTAAACCCATTTTTGATAATTTATTGTAAGTTTTTTTTAGTTATTGATTAAGTAAGAGTCGTGCGATATATATTTATTTTTTTCCTAATATTCCAATAAAACAAGGTAAAAAACAAATACAATGCCAACACTTACCTGTTCAATAATGAAAATGTCCCAACTTACAATAAATTATTGTATTCAAAAAGATGTTTACTTTGCAGGCACGAGAAACTCCTAACTAAAAAACCCCTTTCTCTCTCTCTCTCTCTCTCTCTCTCTTTTTCTTTATATATATATATATATATACATATATACTATATATAGATTATATATATATATATATATATATATCTATATATATATATATATTATATATATACATATATATATATTATAGATATATATATATATATATATATATATATATATATATATATATATATATATATATATATATATATATATCTAAATATAATATATATATATATATATATATATACATATATATGTTTATATATATATATATATATATATATATCTATATATATATATATATATATATATATAAAATATAAATATATATACATATATATATATATATATATAAACATATATGTTTGTATATATATATATATATATATATATATATATAAATATATATATATATATATATATATATATATATATACATATATCTATATATATATATATATATATCTATCTATATATATATATATATATATATATATATGTGGAGAGAGAAAGAGAAAGAGATTTTTTACTTTAGGTTTTTATCCTAATGATAATTTCTTCTGCTTAAACATTATCGGAAAGCATCCTAGTGAGTTTTAAACACATAAAATGGTCATTAAAATGTAGAAGAGTTTTTTTTTTTATTTATCCACTTTATAAACTTTAATAACAGTGAGCATTCTTTTTGTGAAATCGCTACCTCAGTTGACATACGTTCACAAGCTCGCATGCGCGAACAACAGACAATCTTTTTTTTTTAATTATTATTTACGTAATTTTTTAAAATTAAATAGTATTTAAGTATTTTTATCAAAGTTTACTATTAAATATTTGTATTTAGAAATCTCAGGAAGAAACTTCCTCAGAAAATTCTGATTTGTCTTTGCATTTCTTTAATGGGTCTACTGCTTGTGTTTTTGATTGGTGCAGAAAAAACATCGCCTAGACAACACTGTCAAATTATTGCAGCTGCGTTGCATTATTTCATACTGACAACATTTTGTTGGATGTTGGTTGAAGCTTTTAATTTCCACCGTTCTTTGATTGCAGTTTTTAATAGAAGTAGTGATGAAAGTATCTTTAGAAATGCTAATGTGATTGCTTGGGGTAATTTTTCTAAATATTTCTTTTTTAAGTGATTAATTTATTTTTATTGTCAATTTTGTTGTTACGTTCTATTAAATAAAAATTAACTTTAAAAAAAAAACTATTTTAATAGTTTTCTAATTTTATATAAACAATGTATAAAAATAATTTTCTTTTTAATTCTTGAATGTAGAAACTTTTTGTTGATTAATTAAAAAAAAAAAAGAGTTGTTTAAAAAAAATGCTCATAGTTACTGCAATGTCAAAAATGTTGACAAAGATAACTTTTAATGATTTCTTGGTTGAAGCTCGATTACTCTGCTCGATTACTCTGCTCTTATCCAACTGTAGTATTTGACTGACCCCAAGTGAATCTTGATACTTCAAGTACTAAAACAAAGAAAATAAGATTAGCGCCATTAGTTGCACCTTTTTCATCTTCAGAATTATTGTTTGCATCATGCTGTAGTTTTCGTCAAAATGGTAAAGAAAAAGATGCTCAAACAGTTTTACAATTTTCAGAAAATATGAGTTTTGGTTTGATAAATAATTTTATAATAAATAAATTTTAATCGCTTGCTGATCATCAATCTAAAATTAAGCTGACTTGTATTTGTATTTAATTTGTAAACAACAGAAAAAAAATTTAGTTTATCAAATTTTTATGAGTATTATTCTGTTTAATCTGTAATTTTTATATTTTTTAACTAGTGTTGCAGTATGGAATAGTAATTAAGTATAAGTATGTAATAATAGCCACATATGTACATTATATATATGTATTATATATGTATATTATATATTTTATTATCTATATTATATGTATTATGTATACTATTATGTATATTTATGTATATATATATGTATATTTATGTATTATATTTATTATTATGTATATTATGTATTATATATATTATTATATGTATTATAAATATTATTATGCATATTATTGTTATGCATATTATATGTGTTATATGTATTATTTATATTATTGTGTATATTATATGTATTACTTTGTATATTATATTTATTATATATATGTATTATATATGAATATAATATATATGCATTATATATGTATATTGTATATATGTATATTATACATATGGATTTTATATATATGTATTATATATGTATATATGTATATTATATTTATGTATTATATATGTACATTGTATATGTGTATATTATACATATGTATATTATATATGTATATATATATATATATATACATATATATATATCTATATATATATATATATATATATATATATATATATATATCTATATATATATATATATATATATACATATATATATATATATCTATTATATTATATATGTATATGTATATATATATATATATATATATATATATATATATCTATATATATATATATATATATATATATATATATATATGTAAGTATATATATATATATATATATGTATATATATATATATATATGTCTATGTATATATATATATATATATATACTATATCTATATATCTATATTACTATATATATATCTATCTTATATATGTTTTACATATGTATACAATGAGTTTGGAATGATGCCTATATTAAAGAAACTAAGACTAATAACACATATCTCTATACCAAAATTATCTGAATTTTTATTATATTTTGAAGCCAAGCTTCCAAGAAGCAAAAAGCAGAGTCACAATCCATGCTAAAACATTCGGAAGAATTGTTTGACGTATTAATAAGCCGGAAATTATATTTGGCTAGAAAATAGTTTTGCTATAAAATATCATATTTGTTATTCAAATATTGCCTTAAATACTTCTTATCAAAAAAAAAAACTACAATTCAATCTTTTTAAAACTTTGACTTTTTTTTTTAAAAGTACTTTAATTTTGCTGTATCAATAGTTTTTATACTGTTGTATCCATATTTAAATAAAATCGAAAAATTATTTTGTATGCATTATATACATATATATATATATATATAATATATATATATATATATACTATATATATATATATATATATATATATATATATATATATATATATATATATATATATATATATATATATATATATATATATCTATATATATCTATATATATATTTATATCTATATAAAACTCCTATTTGTCTTTTAACAAGTGTCAAAGTAAAATAAAATTGTTACAGAAATTATAAAAAACTCTGCTTAAATAAATGAAAAAATAAGCATCTTCGTTATATTTGTAGAGTAAAGGACAATAAATAGAATAAACTCCTATAAATTTAAATTAAGTTAAATAAAAAAAAACATAATATAAGAGATTAAGTTTACAAAAGGTTTTATCAAAAAGGTTTGTTTATCAAATTTCAAAGCTTTCATTTGATTTCGGAATTTCTCTTTTAATATGAAATTTATATCAAAATACTATTACAGTTTCTGAAAGTTATATTATACCTGATAACAAAGGTACCTATACTCCCTTGAAATATATTAGTAAAATTAATTTAAAAATAAAAAGTTTGTTAGGTTTAATCCTTGGTCCTCTCCGTTTTAAGTTATATAAATGACATCTACAATATTATTAAATTCAATTAAGTATGTTTATGATACTAATTTATTTATATCCAATAATAATATTAGTTTGTTATATGGAGATATGAATATTGAACTGATGAAAAAAAATAAATGGTTTAGTACTAACAAGCTCTCAATAAACACTGACAAAACTCATTATACATTATTTAATAAAAAAAAACAATAAGAAAATCTGCCCTTTAATTTATCAGCTCTCTATATAAATGATAAACAAATTAAAAAGGTGGAATTATTAAAAAAGGAGTTTTTTTTTTATTAAAACTTGTCTCACATAAAGTAGTTCAAATCAAAATAAACAAAACGATTGGCAAAATGTACCGAATTAACCCACTCACAAATACTCATAGTCTCAAAATAATATACTTTAGCCTAATCCATAGCTATATTAATTATGGTAATATCGCGTGAGCTAGCATACAACCTGCTAAACTTAAAAAGATGTTTAAGTGCGAAAACATGCTAGCAGAATTATATATATATAAAAAAAATAGGTTTGAGCATGCAAAGCCATTAATAAAGAAAATGAGAATGTTGAATATATATGAGATAAATAGATTTCATTACATGATCTTTGTGTATTATCAATTTAATAATCTAAAATATAAATCATGAACTTTCATCCTGTACAAGTTTGAGACATTCGGCTAATATATAGTACAGTAATGTAACGCACAGGTTTATGTGCAACATAATTTATTTGTTATATGTTTTATAATTACCAAAAACATTAAAACTATACATAATTGATAAAAAATGCGATAACAATCTATAAGAGTGTATAGAAAGGCAGCGATGTTTTATTTTCAGAAGCCAATTTGAAAAATCAAGCAATAGTTTGTCAATTATTTTGAACTTCATTTACCAAGATAAAAAAAACTGGAACATAAACCTGTAGTATCTTTACTTAGCTATGTATAAAATTTAATATAATTTATTACAACCTTTTTCTATTGTTGTTATGATAATTAAACTATTGTTAAAGTTATAATTTAAGGTCAACGCCCTTTATTTTTAATTGAAGACATACTTGTGCAAATGAAAGATTGTTTAAAATCCAAACATTTGAATAAGTCAAACCAACTTTTATAAGCAGCAAGTAAAATATTAAAAATATTTATAAAACCAAAACTAGTTGAAAATATATGCAACACTGACAACATTGACCGACACTGACGTCAGAATAATTATAAGCGCAATAGTGTTCCATTTTATCGGCCTGTAATATCTAGTAGGGTAATGTTTAATTCGCCTGTACTTAAAGATTGCACAAGGTTAATTTTAATATACAACAATGATATTGATGGTGAAATGGTATATCTGTTTTTGAACAACAATCAAATGATCCGAGTAAACTTAATACTGATAAATCGCTTTTTATAAATTGCTTACTTTGTTTAGAACAATATTGATTGCTCTAACCAACCTGCTTTTTATCATCTTTGAAACAATATAGACCCTCTTTAACTATTTTCAAATAGTTACTACAGGCTTCTCAAAATTAAGTTAAAACAGGCACCCAATCTTAAGACTGATCTTACTTCTGTGACAGATTGGGGCTCACAGTGGCTTGTAAAACTCCAACAAAACTGAGTAATTTAATGAAAACAACTATCGCGGTACTGTCAACATTCCTATATTAACAAACGGCAACCCTCTCACTGAGTCCTCTTTATTACAACTTCTTGGATTATCATTTACAACTGACTTTTCATGGAAACCATATATACAATTGATTGCTAAATTAGCATTTCCTAACAGTGCATTTCTTTATTGTGCTTGCTATTGAATAGATGCAGACTTACCGTTATTTTAAGTTAAATACAATATTATACCAATAGTACTAATATGTTTTAAAAAGATGTGGTGTAAGTTGTTATTAGTATATACTGCTATAAATTTAGAGTCGTGTTTTTGCCGGAAAAAAACTAACCATATGTGAATATTTACTTATGGTCTTGAGACCACTAACTAAAAATATAATATATATATAAATTTTGTTATGGCGATATAGGACTTTAGCCACCGTGTAGATATAGAACTGTCAAAAAAGATAGATATAGAACTGGCAAAAAACCTGTTGTTTATACATCAATAGCAGCTTTTTTGCTACTTTTATCAGGCACTTTTTTACTACCTTTACCTGGTGTATCTACTGAAGGGTAGGTAGGCCTCGTACAAGGTAGTAAAAAAGTACCAAAATGTGAATATCAAACAATGTTAACACAACAAGGATAATTTTCAGCAATATGATGTTTCAACTATTATAATGAACATGAACGCAGATCTATAAAAGGACTCATGCTATTTTGATTCAATATTATTTGTTATCGTAATACTAATTTAAATAGCATTACGATAACAAATACTATTTAAATATAAATAGGATTATATATAATATAATTATATAGAATTATATCATAGGTTAACTTTATTTTGTTAACATTTTTAGGTGTTCCTGCGTTAATTGTAATAATTACTGGCATTTTAAAACCAGATCAGTTAGGAAATCATCAAATGTGAGTTCATAAAGTTGAGTCCTTATTATTTCTTTTTCTTTTGCTTTATGTACACTCACACTCACACACACACACACACACACACACACACACACACACACACACACACACACAAACACACACACAAACACATATATTCATATATGTGTTTGTGTGTGTATATATGTACATGTGTGTAATACATACATATGTATTTATATATATATATATACATATATATATATATATATATATATATTATATATATATATATATATATATATATATATATATATATATTATATATATTTATATATATATATATATATATATATATATATAAATATATACATATATTTATATACATATATATATTTATATATATATATATACTATATATATCTATATATATATATATATATATATCTATATATATATATATATATATATATACATATCAGGCTTTCCCAGGAAAGGCGTGCGGTCGCACGCCTTGTTTGTCCACGCATAGAATAAATTTTTCTGACTAACTGACCACGTGTTATTATTATGCGTTTCAAAAATTCGCGCTAAAATAAAGCTAAACGAAAATACCGCAAAAATGCAAGCAATCTTAAAGTAAATGACAGAAATCTGTTTGTGCTTTAAAGTTAAAAAATTAATGTATATTATTAAAAAAAAAATTTACCTATATATATATTTTTTTTTTTCTTAGGGTGGTAGTTATTTTAGCTATGAAAACAACAAATCAATAAGAAAAATCAAATCAAAGAGAAAAAGATTAATGTTTAAAGAAAATAAAAGGACCTTTTAATGTAAATTTGTTTATGACTTTTTTCAGTCAGTAATACTTTAAAATTCACGATAGAACTATAAACAATTTTTAAATGTTTCGTAAATACATTTAAATGTTTAAGTGTATTGATTTAAATGTTTGAATGTATTGATACGCAAGAAAACACGAAAACGATTGCTATTTATTAGTAAAAAATGTTGTTGTTTTTTTTAAACGAAAGAAAATTTTATTGTCAAACGATTGAGTTGTTTATTTTGCAATCATTAATTGACATTGTGAACGAGTGTTAATATACAATAATGTCCCAAAGGAACTGTTTTCGTAACAATAACAACAGAAGCAATGCAATTATTTTTAACTTCTTTCGTAATTACAAAATTATGCAATTGAATAATTTCAACGTAATAAAAAGCGAGCATTGACTCAGTATAATCAGTTTAGAATAAGTCGAGAAAGAACTTTTTTCACATTAAAATTTTGTTGTTTAAAATCTGAAATAATATATTTAATAATTAAAACAGCAACTTATTTTCTTGTCAAAGTCAACGCCTTTCATAAACTTTCGTAAAAACTTAAGTAAATAAAAAAGTTTAACCAAATTTGTCTAGCGTAAATAATGAATCAGTTTTTTAATATGTTGCCTGATAAAGTTCGTGAATAAATTACGTATCAAGTCTTTTTATTTTTGTGAAAACTTTACGACTTATCGTCGCCTTTCCCTTGACTTGTATCAAATTTCGTAGCTGAAAATAGCAACTCTTAAAAAAGCGAACAAAAACGGTATAAAAAGTTTGAGAAAAATGTTCAAGACTTTTTTTTTTTTTTTGTTACAAGAATTTTTTTTTTTTTTAATTTTTTTTTTTATTATCAAAATATTTTTCTTACATCCAATTTCAATTTTATAATTTGTTTAGACTTCGTTTCCTTTTTTTAATATTATTTTTTATTATCTGTGAATAATTTCCGCTTTCACACGAAATATTGCCGCGGTCACGTTTTCTGAAAAATTTATTCTATGCGTGGACAAACAAGGCGTGCGTTCGCACGCCTTTCCTGGGAAAGCCTGACATATATATATTTATATACATATATATATATATATATAGTATATATATATATATATATATATATTATAGTATATATATATATATATATATATATATATATATAGATATATATATATATATATATATATTAGATATATATTTATATACATATATATATTTATATAAATACATATATTTATATACCTATATATATATATATATATATATATATATATATATATATATATATATATAGATATATATATATATATATATGTATATATATATATTATTTTATGTTTTATAGGTATATGTATTTATATACACAGGTATATATATATATATATATATATATATATATATATATATATATATATATATATATCTATATTATATATATATATATATATATTGTTTTATGTTTTATATGTATATGTATTTATATACACATGTATACTATATATATATTATATATATATATATATATCTATATATAGATATATATATATATATATATATGTATGTATATATATATATATATATATATGTACACTCAAACACACACACACACACTAACACACACAAATACACACACAAACACACATATTCATATGAATAAATATTTGCCTACATATGTATTCTATATATATATATATATATATATATATATATAATATCTATATATATATATATATATATAATATATACATATAATATTTATATATATATATAATATATATATATATATATATTATATATATAATATATATATAATATATATATAATATATATATATATATATTAGACTATTCATTTATGTGCTTTCGTTTAGCACAACTTCACTCTATCGCCTTTCTCTTTGTTCTATATCGCTCTCCTTCATCCCAAGATTGCACTATTCTTGATGTTATTTCTGATCAAATTGACCAAGCCCTCTCTCTTTATCCATCGGCCAATATCGTCGTTGTTGGTGACTTTAATGCCCACCACACCGATTGGCTTGGCTCTAGTGTCAGTGACTCTGCTGGCGTTAAGGCCCTCAACTTTTGCCTTTCTCAATCTCTAACTCAAATAGTCAACTTTCCAACTCGTTTTCCAGACAACCCTAATCATTTACCTTCTCTACTCGACTTATGTCTTGTTTTGGATTCTAGTCAGTGCTCAATTTCTCCACATTCACCCTTAGGTACTTCTGATCACGGTTTGATCTCTCTAAAACTATTATCAAATTCTTCTACTTCATCAGAATCCCCTATCATCGTACCACATACAACTACCTTAAAGCTGACTGGGACTCTTTCCGTGATTTTCTTCGTGATGGCCCTTGGGTAGAAATCTTTCGTCTTCCTGCTGACAAATGTGCTTCTTACATAACTTCGTGGATTCAGGCTGGCATGGAATCTTTTATTCCCTCTCGACGATTCCAGGTCAAGCCTCACTCTTCTCCTTGGTTTTCCTCACATTGCGCTGCAGCAATTTCTAATCGAAACTGTTACTTCCATATCTATCAGCAAAACAATTCTCCAGAAAACAAACATCTGTTCACTATCGCCAGAAACCCATTGTAAAAAGGTTTTGTCTGACGCCAAAGCTCGCTATTCCCAGGTCATTAAATCTCGTATCTCATCACAAAAATTAGGCTCTCGAGACTTCTGGAGAATCTTTAACAGTATCAATAATAAGGGCAAATCTGTTATTCCTTCTCTCTTG